TTAATTAAATGTTATTGTAAAAAATTTTAGTAACGTGATCACTATTGAAATGTAGATCATTTCACCCTACCCTTAAAATTTAATATTATAAGAAACAAAAAATTAATTTTGTATATCTAAGAATTAAGTACTTATTTAATATTAGTATTTAATTGATATAAGATTATATTTGGTACAACATTAGGATGATATTTTATTAAGTTAATTCAAATAATTATTTTTTTTAATATAATAAAACAAATTGTTAACATCTTGCAAAAAATTAATTTTAAGAAATAGTTCGCAGTTGAAGAGTAAAAATTTAATACAGTAGTAAAAATTAGCAGAATCACTTATAGAATTTTAATAGTAGTGGAATGACCAACAATTTTTACAAAAAGTACTATATAAATTTCTTTTTTACTAGGTAAGTTACACTTTGACTTCTAATTAAAGTTGTAGAAGAAGTTTATATGGTTCTAATGGTAGTAAGATCACTAAATTTGGTTTGGTGAATAATGAGATATCAACAATTTGCATTTTGCAATCATATAAAATTTTTTTGCAGATCTGCAAAGAAAATTTTATATAATTATAAAATATTAGAAGTCAAAAAAAAACTTACTTAGTAAAAAAAGAAGTTTACATAATACTCTTTATGAAAATTGTTGACTATATGACCTGTGAATTAATAGCACAGTGGTTAGTGCTCCTGAGTCACAATTACAAGGTTACAAGCTCAAGTGATGAACAGCTCTCCCAGGACTATAATTGGGATCTTTAAAGGATTTCTATTAAAAAGAAAGAACAAGATTTGTATAAGTTGCAGTATGCTGGCATAGCCACAGAGCCAGGGATAATCAGAAAAGGCATAATCTATTAACAAATGATGCTAAAATTAAGAAAAACCCAACTTAAGGATTAATAGAAGAGACGATCTGGCTTGTAGATCATGTAAAGTTAGGAAACTGCAGATCTAGAGAACATAGATCCTACACCATGGCACCAGAGACCAGGACATCATATGATGGACTTAACAGAGCATAAGTTATCTTACCAGTATGGTGACATTTAGAGGCTAATTCACCATACTGGTGATCTCTGCAAAATGAAAACTCTGGCCTTTGAGAGATGTGAGAGATCTGAAGGTGTCTAAAGACCTTCAAGATGCGGAGGGAGGTAAAAAAAAAAATTGTTGGCCATTCCTACTACTATAAAATTCTATATATAATGCCTGCCGTTTTTTACTATGATGCTTATATGATGCTTATACCCTTTAATGGCGAATCAACTCTTAAATTATATTTTCAAAAAAATAAAAAAAAACAAACATTTTCTAAATTGAATTGAAAGGTATAAATCTTAAAATTTTTAATTTATATGATTTTTTTTGTTTTTCACTGCCTATAAAATCTCTTGATTTCTTTTATTTCTTTATCCTTTTTTTAATATCGCTTCGTATCACAAATTCATAACATCCAACTAAGGGTGTTCTCAATCAACCAATCAATTAAATAATGATCATGATGACGCTCAAGCATCTCAATCAATGACGATATTTATAAAATTAAATGCTTAATCTATTTTTCGTGATCTACGTTATGCCACCTAAAAATACCTGAATCAATTTATGGAATCATTAGCGAAAGTTGCATTACGGCAACAAGAAATAAAAAAAAATATTTAAATTTTGAACGAAAAATGGAATAGCAGTATTCATTACGGTTTGATTAAATGTTAAAGATGTATTTATTACGTTCATATTAAGGTATCGATTATTTTATTTTAAAAACTTCGAGAAAACAGCAGAGACCGTTAATGTTACACATATATTAAAACTGGTGAGGGATTATATCCATCACAATTGAATCCAATATAAATAATTTAATTTGTGATTGATCACAGGAGAGAGGGATTCATTCTGGATCGGGCACTGTTTCTGCTGTTTCTGCTGTTTCTTCGAGAATTAAAAATTCATTGTTATTATGTTTGATATGTAAAAAATTTGTTTATTGAAAAAATAGTAACTCACTTGGTTAATTGATTCAAACTAATTATAGATTTGCCTCCGATCCATTGAGAGGTGCTTGAGAACACCCTAAATTGAAAATAGCAATAACGTTAAGAGTATAATATTCAAAAATTTGTCAACGTAACGTCAATAGTATAATCAAAAATTTGTCAACGTATTCGATTAGTGTTGCGCATTTTATTATTCATGGCCTATTTAGGTCATGTTTGCTTTAGTATGGTTTAAACAAATAAATTGTTCTATAATAAAAATTTGAGTTTTTGGCAATTTCTTTTTTTGTACATATCCAATCTGACTTATGGCGTACTGTATCAGTATGTATTGTACGTACGTACGTGCATGCTAATTGTTTTGTGCATGTAAGGTCCACCAGGCAGTGTTGGACATTTTGTAAGTCCAGTAATTTAGCATGTCAGATTCACCAGGCAGTGTTGGACATTTTTGTAAGTCCAGTAAATTTAGATTGGTAAAATTGCCCAAAATTGCCCAACACTGCCATTAATTTGACCAATCAAATAACAATATTAATATTCTGATTGACTAATTTATAATACTAATACACTGCAGTACTGCGAAAAAAGTATTTTTGATGCAGTAATATGGTTATTTATAAAATCGAGTACGTACGTAACCTTGTGTCGGCAGAATGCCAACTAGGGAAATGAGATATACTCTAAATAAAAAAAATCTAGATTGGAATCGCTAAACAATTTTCTAATTGTTTAACTGTATTACAGTAACTGTTCCTAACGCCCTTGTCATCGGTTTAAAGCCCCATCCGCATGTCACTACTTTTGATATACGTATAACGATAACAATAAATTTCATTAATCTTACTCACATGTTACTACCTTATAATAAAAAGATAATCGTCACTAAAAAAATTAAGTGTATTTATCGGAAATACTTTTTAGGATCGGTCCAGGATCCAAAACCTCGGCCAAATTCATCCAAATTCATTTAATTTAGACCCGATTATGTAATGAAACATTTAGTATGTTATATCGAAATATTAATGTCCCGTTCCAGTACCCGTTTGCAGAACAATAGTTTTAACTTGGATCTGGACTGCAACTATTACTTTCGCTATAATTTATGAAGATCAAAATTCGTAACCCTGCATATGAATTAAGCCTCATTTGGGGATCGTTTAAATCCACGTGCATTAATGTGACTTTAAACCAATAAGAAGATCAATCTATTTATAAATACAGACCAAGCCCTATCACGTGAATGAACCTTTGCTTTAACCATTCCCCTTATTTGGGCATAAAAATATATTGAGATCTAAAAAGTATGACGATAACAAAACTCTAAAGTACAATACATTTAAAGGTTACATTGAAGTTTTTTTACAAATGATATATCTGAAAATGAATGTGGCTAATAGCTATTAAAAGATGGTTAATAAAATATATAAATTTTAAAATTGAATAAACAAATAAAAAAGGGGGGACAAAAAAGAAATTTGACTATATATACTTTAAAAAATATACTTTAAAAAAATATACTTTAAAAAATCTAAATTTTATATTACAGCAATCTCTATATATTGTTCGGGAATCCTATTGAAAAAATTTTTTTTCTAACCCATTATTAATATTATCATTAATATTTTAAAATCTAATAAACGCTCAAAAGTACTGATATAAATTTTACTCGTCGAAAATGACACTTGAGACATCCATTACGAATGAAGACCGTTTACCACTTATAGGACCTGATATAGATATTGAACTTCAAACTTCGGACGTTGATAGTGTCAATTTCTTGGATGTTGCACCATTACAACAACAAAATGATGAAAATTTGTCATTTCCGATCTTTGATAGTTCCTCTAACACATCTAACACATCTAACACATCGAGAACAAGTAGTTACAAACGAAAACATTCCCCTCAAAATTCATTACATAAACAAGATATTGTTAATAACTACCCAAGTGTGGGTGAATTATTTTGGAATGATGGGAAAATGTATAGTGATGTTAGATTAACATTTGAAGATCGAGAAGTTCTAGCCAACTGCACTGGAATACCATCTGAGCTTCGCTTACATTCCATAGTTTTATCCCAATCACAATTCTTCAAAGAACAACTCTCACGATCATCTTCAATACCAAAAAATAATATGAATAATATGAATGAAAAACAAATCATTGTTAGATTACCAGCTTATGTTAGCGAAGAAGATATTATAAATTTTTATTGCACGTTGAAATTAATGTATACAAAAAAATGGGATGTTGAATTGGCAGATAACTTAGCAAAAGGTGTCGGATGTTTGTCAGTTTGCTGTGAAATCGGATTTCATGAAGGAATTGAAGCTTGCTGGAAATGGTTGGTTAGAAAGTGTAATCGCGATAAAAACAGTGAGATGATGAAGCTATTAATAGAAAATTATCCAAATTTGCATGAACAATTTACTCATCAAGTTGAAAGAGAGGGTTATTCTTCTGACTCAAATTTATCAAGAAAAACAAGTAAAAGAAGATCACGACGCAATAACTGGTCAAAACATCTATGCCAATCTTATGATAGCGATCCTTCAAATAATAATCCAAGTTTAGCCGATACAAAATCTCAAAAAGATAATGAATTTATTACATTATTACAACCAAAACAATCTTCCACAACTCCTTCATCACCTAATTATGATATCAATAATACATATAATACATTACCATCACCACCATTGTCATCATCTTCTTTACCTTCTCCAGTGCTAGCAGATCCAACAAAATCAACTTCTCCTACATTGACTACTTTTTCATCAATAAATCCTTCTTTAGTATTATCTCATACATCTCATCCTTTTCCCGTATTATCGCAACCACCATCTCAATTTAATAATCCTCAATTACTGAACACATGGATAGCAAAATTTGAATCATATTCAATATCTTCAAAACGATTATGCGCAAAATTTCCTTTTGAAGCCAGAGATGATAATAGATGTTTCCCATTTATTAAACATTTTAGTTCTGTCTTTGAATCTATTAATCAACTTGGTAGATCGAAACATCTTACGTCCCCTCAATGCCTTGACTTCGCACTTCGTGTCCTAAATGTGATTAAAATCGAACATTCACATTTCCATAATTTACACATTCATTCATCTAATTTGAATAAAAATCCGTCGATCGTAATTACCAATACTACAAAATCATTATCAACTAAAGATAATAAATTATCATCGTCATCGATAATACTTCATGAATCGTTGGATGAACCATTATCTATATTATTAAAGGAAATATTATCTCCGGTAGAACAAAAACATTTGTGTAACTATTTATGGGCACCAAGTAATATTTCAAACTTAATGCATCTACGAGAAATTCGATGTGATGATAATGATGATCAAATTAATGATGAATTTGATGATTATGATCAAGTTATGGGTGAAGATAGTCTAGTTAAAGGTTCAAGGGTTAGTCGAGTTGAACACATGGTGGTTGGTGAAAAAATGGTCAAGGTCATGAGAGGGATTATATTTTCAACAACTTAGAACAATTTATTATTATAAAGATAATTTGTTTCTCTTGTATAATGTATATATTATATTATATATAGAATATATATTTGAATAAATGTACTTTACTTTTTTTGGGTCTCGGTAATGTGTACCCAGCACCAGAATTGCTCGAATTTGTCAGAAGCCATTAAAATTTTTGTTCACGTGAATTAATATTATGACGTTTGTGTAATGAAAACTTGTTTTTAAAACGCAAAAAAAATTACGTCATTACAATCTATGTTTCTCCATCAAATTAAGGAATATCTAAATTAGTCCTTTTTTGAACATGTGAATATGTAAATCGTAAATCCAATATCGATATTGGCTTATCGACGGCAATAGATAGATATGTTCTTATCTTGATACGTACATAATAAAATTCGTCGTTTTTTGTAACCAAAAAATTCATTTTGAGCGAATCTTTGTACGTATTAAAAATTTCTGCTCAAATTCCTTACTATATTTTTGAGTCTATCGTTAGAAACGGTTCCTCTTGCTAAACTGAATTTGGTTGCTTTCGCTTTATACTAACCGTTGATGCTCAAAACATCACTAATCCTTTTTAATTCATTATTTGTATCTCCAAATAAATATGCAAATTTTTATGCGATTATAAACTTAATCATGCTTTATTGGTTTATAAAATATGGTATTGATCTAGACCAATTTCTAATAAGGCACATACCCTTCCAGTGAAACTTCGATTGTCCTACGTACGTACATACGTGTACGTACGTACGTACTATTCTTTATCTGTTATATTGTGAATGATTTCGAACTTTTACTAATGCTAATTGCCGAATTTATTAATTGTTAAAAAAAATTCTTTAATTTATGCATACAAATGGAAATATCTATTACTATTAAGACAAAGAGAACACATGGAATTCTTCTAACAATCGAATTGGGTCGAGTTGGGTCAGCCTAGAGTTTCAACCTGATTTTATTTTCATATGTTAAACCCAATTAAATCTGATTTTAACTTATGAAAAATAAAATTAGGTTTTATAATTTGGATGACGCCAAGGGGAACCAGACTTTGAGATTTCAAGTTTATTATTTATTATTTACCGGAATCAGTATCATCATTTTTATGTTTTAATGATCGAAATTCGGTTTCGGTGATAATAAAATCGTATTTCAAATGTGGTTGCAAGTTACTAATAATGATGTAGAAATTTTTTTCCTTTTCAATGAATTTGTTTAGAGAACTTGTTTTATATCCAAAATTTATGAGTAATTTTATCCTTATTCTCTGCTGCATAAATATGATTGGTTCAAATATTTAAAAAAAATTTTCATTAAAAGTTTTTTTAAAAATTTCTATTAAAAAACTGTAATTTTAAAATAATTTCTATTTGTATGCTATACTATGTATACAGATATGTTGAATTATAGATCAAATTTTGGTTTTTAATAACCAAAATTTTAGTACAAATTATCTCTTAAACCATATAGCGTACATATTTGTACGCTTAAATTTTTAAAGACCTACAGTGCAGGAATCCTTAAATTGAATTAGCCAGGGCGGCCCCCCCAAAGTGCAGATAACGTGATGATCGTCATGGCCGCAGCCGCAGTTAAATAATTTCCACCAATCAGATGAATACTATATACAAGCCGATTTACGATACTGATAATCGACTTTAAGTTCTTCGTTTTCGTCAAAGTCAAAGATACAATTTATTACAGGCTTTCGCGATTGATTTAATAAATTAGAGAAGCTTCAAAAGATTCATATTTTATTTTATTCTTTGATTTACTTTAATTTATTTTTCGAATCTATTAATTAATATATTTAAACATTTTCGCTTCTGTTGTAAAAATTTTTTCTTGAAGATATAGTTAGATTTATACAGCAAATATTATTGGAATGAATTGACGTCACGTAGAACTTGTTAATGGGAATTCAAACTTTAAAGGTATGAAAAGCCTACAACCACTCTTACTTTATACAACCTTGCCATTCTTTACTTACTCTTTCTCATTATTTATAACGTTCATGTCCTCAATGATTACCGCATTCTCTGTTACCCTTGGCTCTTCAGGATAGGGTAAATACATAAGGTATGGTTTTTTACTATTCTCTGATTTCCAAGTTGCCTGTCTGTGTTTTCACTGCTCCGTAGCTTGAATATCCTTCTCCATTTGCATCAGACGACTCCATTTCATCATGGCTTTAACATGTAGCCAATTATTTGCAGATCTTTCAGAACAAATCCGCTCAAACGCTTGTGTGAACGATTTCCAGTTTGACTCAATGTAGGCACGAGCCTCTTCATTTGGATCCTCGTCTATATTAATATCACAACTATCAAGTGAACTATCAGCAGTAGCTTCAAGATCATGGGTTTCAGCAACTTGTTTAATGATTTGAACACCTGATGATATAGCGTGGTTATTTTCAGGGTCCTTTATAATAAGGAATGGAGGTGTTGTGCGATGTTCAAACCTATCTCTAAGCAAGCGTCACCTTTTTCCATCAGGTGTATTCACGGTTTGCCGTACCAAATGTTTATACAACAAAAACCGATTTTTAAAGAACGCAGGACAACTACAGATCCATTGGGTAATATTAGTAAAATATAAACCATCTAAGTTTGTTATTATGTCAGTACTTTGCTTTCTTTTACTACGCCTATTAACACGCATTTCTGCCCATTTTTCATTACTTGCACCAGCATAAACACATTCCTTTTTAAAATCCTCTCACCAACTTGGTTCTATTGCACTAGTTAAAATTTGTGACAGCCGATTTTTTTGTGCTGGCACAACTTCAGTGACAAGTGTCCATACTAAAAGGTCTAATCTGAGTTGGTTAAAACGATGCAAATAGTGTCGCTTGATTACACTCCAATGTGCCTCTATTTTCATTGTAGTTTTCCCTTATTTAAATTATTTGTGAATTAAAAAATATATATATTAATTAAAATAAGCATATTAACTTAAGTACGCCGCCTAGCGTCCCCTCTGGAAGGATTATAAAAAAAAAAAATCAACTTACCATAAGGAATAGTTGGTTTAGTTGACCGTACCCAAAGGTATTATCTTTGTGATGAGTATCAATTGGTCTACAAATAGGCCCAGAGCAACCGCAAATCATGCACAGTACAGAATCGATATATTTCTTCTATTGCACTTCGCCTAATAGCCTCCGGTGTCATCGTGTTTCCCTGGTATAAAGGTAATTAGTCGTGATTTCTTATATTAATTCTAATGTTAAACTAATTAAACTATTTTTTATATATCACCAATACTTTAACTAAAGATGCTAGTAAAATAAAATTAGAATATGGTGCAAATTATCTAAAGACATTCAAAATTGTAACTCTTCGATGAAATTCAGAATTTCTTTAAAATTGTAATTACTTAAATTACCAGGTAGCTCAGCTTGATGTGACTAGATAATTTGCACAATTTCTACTATTATTAATAAAATTATTAATAAGACTAATTTCACTAACATCTCTACTTGTAGTCCTATAAGCGACGAATAATACATATCTTCGTACAGTCCTATTATAAAGATAAAACATATATATATGTATGATCATAAATATATATACGATCATAAATATATATCTATGATTGCAATTAT